GGTTGAAAAGGTGTGGAGATAGGATGACTGGACGGCAATGATTTTGAGGTTGGGGTTGGTTGGTTTGTTATTTTCCCTTTAGTTCAAGGAATTCGGGTGCGACTCTGGCTTAGCCTGGCAGGGAGCAGCCATCTAAAAAGGGCATGTTCCCTGCTGACCAAGCACCTCACCACAGGTGACCTGTGTCCTCACCAGCTACCGAAGATTGTTAGCTTAGAAGGCAGCTGCCCGCACCTCCCGGGGTCAGCATGTTGTTAGATGCCACCCAGCTGCTGAGTCACAGCGAGTGTGTGAGCGTTGGGTGTGAGCAGCGGGTGTGTGAGCAGCGGGTGTGAACAGCAGGCCCAGCCCTGTGCCGTCCTCACCACCTCTGATCTCTTCAGTGCTTCAGTCACTGTCTATCCACCCTCTTGAGCATCTTCCTCTCTTTCTCTGACCTTTTCCAGGACGATGTCTTTTCCCAAGGACTACTCCCCGCCCCCCAAACATGCTCAAAGTATGAGAGACAAAGCTTCCCTATGCTCACCTCCAAAAAGCATTGTGGTTGCACTTCCTACAAACCTTGGGATTTTTGACGTGTATGTGCTCGTTTTGTTCTTGAGTATTGTTTCCTTTTTTTAACTTCCTCAGCCCTCCCCACAGTGCAGCCCTTGTTCCAGGTTGTTGTCATACATATAATACCGAATCATGTATTCCTCTTGAGCAGTTCTTCCTCCTTGTCTGTTGTAGTGCGGTGTTGTTTGTCCACTCGATTCTTTCCTCAATCCCCACCCCGGTCTGTCCTATTTTACAACAACAATGTTATGCAGTATTTGCCTTTTTGTGACTAAGATATTCATTCAGTATAATGTCCTCCAGGCTCCTCCATGCTGTGCAGTGCAGTGTTATAGTTGTTTTTCAATGCTGCATAATAATATTCCATGTGTGAATGTTATTGTTATATGCCATCGAGTCAGCTGCAACTCATAGTGAACCTATGTACAGCAGCTCTGAACCCTGCCCTGTCCTGAGCGAGTCTCACTAATTCCGACCCACTGATCCCCAATGCCGCAGTTACTGTATCAATCCATCTCATCTGGAGTCTTCCTTTCCTGTGCTGTCCCTCCACCCTCTCTGAGCATGAAGTGATAGGTCCGTGCTGGCCAAGCTCTCAAAGTAGAGCCAAGCAACCTGAAGCTGTTAAGAACTATAGTATTTTATGAGGAGGAATGTGGCATCAAGACCAGAGGAACACTGACCAACAACCTGCATTATGCAAATGACACACAAACTTGCTTGCTGAAACTGAGGAGGACTTGAAGCACTTGTTGCAGAAGGTCAAGGACTGTAATCTTCAAAGTGGATTGAAGTTCAATGTCAACACAATAAAGATTCTCACAACTGGGCCAATTGGCAGCACCGTGGGAGATAGAGAAGAGATTGTTGTTGTTGTTAAGTGCCCTCAAGTCACAGGGGACTCATAGCTACACTGTGAAAGACACCTCAATGCTTGGGTGTCTTTCATCCTCTCTCCAGAGGCAAGCTATTACGGAAGTAGATGTCACTCCTCCTTCCAAGCTTGCTTTAATCCGGGACCTCCACCCTGCTCTCTGTCTGCATTGGGTGACTAACCATTTACGCATTTGACACATCAGTGTCGCAGGGTTCAGCCTCACATCAACCACAAGTGACGGTGGTACGGCAACTTGTACACTAGAGCTACACAACCTAGAGGAATATCTGAACAAAAACAACGGAAGACAGGCCCAAGGGCCGCGGGTTAAGTCACCCACCTTTGGCATGGTAGCATTGCTTTCTGTCCACTGGGCCAGCTGATGTCAGAGAAGAGATTAAGGTTGTTAACAATTACAACTTGCTTGGCTCCATAATCAATACTCTTGGCACCAGCAGTCAGGAAATAAAAGATGAATTGCATTGGGAAAGTTGGCTGTCAAGGACCTCTCCAGATTACTGAGAAGTGATGATGTCAGTTTAAAGACTAAGGTACACCTGATCTGGGCCATGGTCTTTGCAATTACTTGCTATGCATCAGAGAGTTGGACAATGGCCAAGGATGACAGAAGAAGAATTGATGCCTTTGAGTTGTGGTGCTGGAGAAGAGTCTTTAACATAGCATGAATGGCCAAGAAAACAAATATGTCTGTCTTGGAGAGGGTGAAACCAAGTCTCTCCTTGGAGGCTAGGATTTTGAAGGTCCATCTCACATACTTTGGGCACATGACCAGAAAGGACCTGTCCTTGGAGAAGGACATTATGCTTGGAAGGATGAAGGGACAGAGCAGGAGGGGAGGACCTTGGATGAGTTGGATTGATATGATAACTGGGACAATGGGTTAAGATGTATCAGAGTCAGTGAGACTGGCTTGGGTGGCAGATATGGTTTCTTTGGGGTAAATTCCCAGTAGTGGAATTGCCGGGTCAAATGGTATCTGTTTGCAACTTTTTTGAGAAAGCGCCATATCGCCTTCCACAGTGGTTGTACCATTTTACACTTCCACCAATAGTGAATAAGGGTTCCAGTTTCTCCACAATCTTGCCAGCATCTGTTGCTGGCTTTTCTGTTAAATTTTGCTATTCTTCCTGGGGTGAGATGATATCTCATAGTCGTTTTGATTTGTATGTTAGAGCTAGGGATTTTGAACATTTCTTCGTGTGCTTGTTGGCCATCTTAATATCTTCTATGGTGAAGTGTGTGTTCATATCCTGTGCCCATTTTTCAGTTGGATTGTTTACCTTTATCTTGTTGTGGTGAGCAGTACTCTATCTTACTGCATGTACCTCGGAGAAAATGTTCTCTTGCTATCTCAAAAGCCCTATTGCGGATGTGGTCTATGTTTATAAGAACAGTCAGCAAATAAAATAAGAAAGAGTAAGCAACATCTTTTTATTTTTTTAAT